TGGAAGTTCTAGCCAGATCTATTGGGCAAGAAAAAGAAATTAAAGGGATACAAATTGGGAAGGAAGAAGTCAAACTATCCATCTTTGCAGATGATAGGATTCTTTATTAAGGGGATCCAAAGAACTCTACTAAGAGACTATTGGTTCTCATAGAAGAGTTTGGCAAAGTAGCAGGATATAAAATCAATGCACAAAAATCAACAGCCAGGCTGGCGCCACGGCTCACTAGGCTAATCCTCCGCCTTGCAGGCGCCGGCACACCAGGTTCTAGTCCCGCTCAGGGCACCGGATTCTGTCCCGGTTGCCCCTCTTCCAGGCCAGCTCTCTGCTGTGGCCAGGGAAGTGCAGTGGAGGATGGCCCAAGTACTTGGGCCCTGCACCCAATGGGAGACCAGGAGAAGTACCTGGCTCCTGCCATTGGATCAGCGTGGTGCGCTGGCCTCAGCACGCCAGCCGTGTCGGCCATTGGAGGGTGAACCAACGGCAAATGGAAGACCTTTCTCTCTGTCTCTCTCTCTCACTGTCCACTCTGCCTGTCAAAAAAATAAAAAAATCAACAGCCTTTGTATACAAAGGCAATGCCACAGGTGAGAAAGAACTGCTAAGATCAATCCCATTCACAATAGCCACAAAAACAATCAAATACCTTGGAATAAACTTAACCAAGGATGTTAAAGATCTCTACAATGAGAATTACAAAACCTTAAAGAAAGAAATAGAAGAGGATACCAAGAAATGGAAAAATCTTCCATGCTCATGGATGGGAAGCATCAATATCATCAAAATGTCCATTCTCCCAAAAGCAATTTATAGATTCAATGCAATACCTATCAAAATACCAATGACATTCTTCTCAGATCTGGAAAAAAATGATGCTGAAATTCATATGAAGACAAAGGAGACCTTGAATAGCTAAAGCAACCTTGTACAACAAAAACAAAGTCGGAAGCATCACAATACCAGATTTCAGGACCTACTACAGGGCAGTTGTTATCAAAACAGCATGGTACAAGGACAGAAATCGATGGATAGACCAATGGAATAGAACAGAAACACCAGAAATCAACCCAAACATCTACAGCCAACTTATATTTGATGAAGGATCCAAAACCAATCCCTGGAGTAAGGACAGTCTATTCAATAAATGGTGCTGGGAAAACTGGATTTCCACGTGCAGAAGCATGAAGCAAGACCGCTACCTTTCACCTTAAACAAAATTTCACTCAACATAGATTAAAGACTTAAATCTACGACCCGACACCATCAAATACTTAGAGAACATTGGAGAAATCCTGCAAGATATAGGTACCAGCAAAGACTTCTTGGAAAAGACCCGGGAAGCACAGGCAGTCAAAGCCAAAATTAACATTTTGGATTGCATCAAATTGAGAAGTTTCTGTACAGCAAAAGAAACAGTCAGGAAAGTGAAGAGGCAACGGACAGAATGGGAAAATATTTGCAAACTATGCAACAGATAAAGGGTTAATAACCAGACTCTACAAAGTGATCAAGAAACTCCACAACATCAAAACAAACAACCCACTTAAGAGATGGGCCAAGGACCTCAACAGACATTTTTCAAAAAAGAGGAAATCCAAATGGCCAACAGGCACATGAAAAAATATTCAAGATCACAAGCAGTTTCACCTCACCCCTGTTAGAATGGCTCACATTCAGAAATCTACCAACAATAGATGCTGGTGAGGATGCGGGGAAAAGGGACACTAACCCACTGTTGGTGGGAATGTAGACTGGTAAAGCCACTATGGAAGTCAGTCTGGAGATTCAACAGAAACCTGAACATAACACTACCATTCAATCCAGCCATCGCACTCCTTAGAATTTACCCAAAGGAAATGAAATTGGTAAACAAACAAGCTGTCTGCACATTAATGTTTATTGCAGCTCAATTCACAATAGCTAAGACCTGAAATCACCCAAATGCCCATCAACAGTAGACTGGATAAAGAAATTATGGGAAATGCACTCTATAGAATACTATACAGCAGTCAAAAATAATGAAATCAGGTCATTTGCCACAAAATGGAGGAATCTGGAAAACACCATGCTGAGTGAATTAATCCAGTCCCAAAGGGACAAATATCATATGTTCTCCCTGATCAGTGACAACTAACTGAGCACCAAAGGGGAAACCTGTTGAAGTGAAATGGACACTATGAGAAACAGTGACTTGATCAGCACTTGTCATCACTGTTGATGTACAATGTAATACTTTATCCCTTTTAGTACTTTTTGTTCTAGTACTATTGGGTTGAACTCTGTAATTAACACACAATTATTCTTAGGTGTTTAAATTTTAACTGAAAAGTGATCCCTGTTAAATGTAAGAGTGGGAATAAGAGAGGGAGGAGATGTACATTTTGAAACATGCTCATTTGAACTTGCCCCAAATGGTGGAGTTAGACACGTGCCAGGGGATTCCAATTCAATCCCATCAAGATTGCATGTACCAATGCCATCTCACTAGTCCAAGTGATCAATTTCAGTTCACAACTGATCACACTGATAGGTCCAAGAATCACAGGGATCACAAAAACAAGATTAGTGTCTGCTAATACTAACTGATAGAATCAAAAAGGGAGAGAATGATCCAACATGGGAAGCGGGATACACAGCAGACTCATAAAATGGCAGATGTCCTAAATGGCACTCTGGCGTCAGAATCAGCCCTTAAGGCAGTCAGATCTGGCTGAAGAGCCCATGAGAGTATTTTAGGCATGGAAAGCCAAGACACTCTGGGGAAAGAAAAAAAAGAAGACCTAAGTGGAAAATCTCTGCGAGTGAGATCCCAGTGGAAGGAACAGGACCATCAAAGAAGGAGGTACCTTTCTCTGAAGGGAGGAGAGAACTTCCACTTTGACTATGACCCTGTCGGAATAAGATCAAAGTTGGCGAACTCAAAAGGCTTCCATAGCCTCGGCAACTCATGACTAGAGCCTAGGCAGATCATTGATGCCATAAACAAGAGTGCCAAATTGTTAAGTCAACAACAGGAGTCACTGTGTCCTTACTCCTCATGTGGGATCTGTCCTTAAGGTGTTGTCCTATGTGAAGTAATGCTATAACTAGTACTGAAACAGTATTTTACACTTTGTGTTTCTGTGCAGGTGCAAACTGATGAAATATTTACTCAATATATACTAAATTGATCTTCTGTATATAAAGATAATTGAAAATGAATCTTGATGTGAATGGAATGGGAGAGGGAGCTGGAGATGGAGAGGTGCGAGTGGGAGGGAAGTTATGGGGGGGAAGCCATTGTAATCCATAAACTGTACTTTGGAAATTTATATTTACTAAATAAAAGTTAAAAAAATAGAAAGAAAAGAATATATTTGCAACTTAAAAAAAACAGCAAAAAAACCACCAATCAGGTTATGAAATTGCCAAAGGAATGCAACAGACAGTTCCCCATAGATACACAGATGGCCAACAAATATAGGAAAAAATACTCAACATCACAAGCTATCAGGGAAATGCAAGTCCAAACCACAATGAGATATCAGCTCACACGTATATACTGGCTAAAACCGAAAGGACAGAGAGTCACAATGAGGAGGAGGATGTGGGAAAAGGGGAACACTTACACACTGGTGGTAAAAATTTAAATTAGTGCAACTACTGTGGAAAACGATATAAAGATTTCTTAAGAAAATAAAAACAGACTTGTCATATGATGGAACAATTCCTCTACTGATACAACCCAAAATACATGAATGTATTGTATCAGAGATATACGTTCACCACAATATTTATTGCAGTATGCTTCACGGCAGGGAAAACAAGAAATTCTCAAGGACTTCAAACATCATCAGTTGAATTGATAAGAATAATTCTCTATCTCTCTCTCTGTACACACACACACACACACACACACACACACAAGGAAACAAACTTACAAATTCCTCTTTCCACAGACTTTTTCATGAACCCTCATGATGCTCTCTGCAGTACCTTAAATAACTAGAGCAAATGTGGGCACATAGCAGACACTCCTTTGAAAGCCAAGAAAAATATATTTACCAAGAGAAACTCCTCTGTCCATATTCTGACTTCCACAAGCCACAAACTTCATTCATAGGCTAAAACAGGTTCTCCCTGTTCCCAAGACCCCTATCAACCCAGTTTTCTTTCAGATAACATCTTATCCATCTCTTGGTAGTCTGCACACTCTGGTCAAATTTCCTGATTAACTCAGCACCCATTCCCCAGTCCCTCCTGAAAGTTCCCTCTACCCGCCACCTGATACCCTTCCCTCACTTTTCGTAAGGTTTCTCCCCAGGACCTGTCCTGGATCTCACACTCTGATACTCCACTAGTTCTTACAAGCAGACCTATTACAGCTCCTCCCTATTACAACTCTCCTCAAAGTTGCCTGCCTTCCTCCCCACAATCCTTCCATTTTCCTTTTCTATCATAGGATGGTGACATACAGACACAAACTGTTTTCAGCTCCCAAAACCTTGCACGCCCCAGGTTCTTCCATGGCATCTAACCCTCCACTCCCACTGCATGAAGTACTTGCAATCCCATTGTCCTTAGCCTGAAAATCTAAAACCCAAACAACTATTACCACATCTCTCCAAACCAGACTCTTATGTTTTTACTCTGATTAAACATTTGACAGTATTCCTCCCAGATTCCCCTCCCACTGCCTGGACAACCATTCTTCCCTTCTTAGCATGTTCTTTGCCCCTCAATTCTCGGCAAAGCCTCAGGGAAATCATTCCCCAATATCTTATTCAACTCTGTCTCTGTGATTCCTCTATTCTAGGAACGCTAGGTCCCCACATTTCTGTCTCCACATGTATATAGGGCTCCCACCACTTGACCTTCCTTCACAAAGGTTGGAAGTCCACTTTGCTGTCAGCCTGGCAGCCCAACTCCAGGGCACAGGGTTCCCTTCCCTTCCCGTCCCTTCTCTCCTCCTTGGGCCCAAGGGCTGCCATCAACAGGACACAGCCACATGTACTACTAACCAGTTGCTCCTGTCCAGGGTGAAGGCACAGCTGGGTTTTACCAGGAAGCCAAGGAGGTTCCAGAAATGGAAGATTACCCAGCAGCTGAACTTCCTTGTCAACTCAGTGTCCAATTTCATATCGATGAAAATGTCTACAAATAAAGTTACAAAACATTAAGAAATGGAAGACGACACACAAAAATGGAAAAAATCTTCCACGTTGACTCATTGGCAAAATCAACATAATGCAAATATCCATTCTACCATAAGCAATTTACAGACACAATGGGATCCTTAGCAAAGGTCAAATAGCATTTTGCCCAGATGGAGAGAAAACAATGCTAAAATTCATATGAAAACACAGAACATCTGAATAGAGAAGGCAACCTTATACAACATTGACAAAACTTGAAGCATCACAATAACAGATTGCAAGACATAGCACAGGACAGTTACAATCAAAACAGCTTGCTATAGGCAAAAAAAAAATGACAACAATGGAACAGAAAAGAATGGAACAGAAAATATAACAATGGGACAGAAAAGAAACACCTGAAATAACACACACATCTACAACTAATCTATCTTTCAAGAAGGAGCTAAAGATCAATCCCAGGTTCAAAGGACCATTTCTTTATAAAAAGGTCCTGAGAAAACTGGACCTCCACATGCAGAAGTATGAAAGAAGACCCATACTTTACACCTTATATAAAAAGCAACTAAAACACGTCAAGGAACAAAATCTAAAACTCAATATCATCATATTATTAGAGAACATTGGGGAATACTGGAAAACATTGGCTTAAAGAAAGATTTCTGGGAAAAAATGCCAGTAGCACAATAAAAGCTGAAACAAACAAATGAGATTCCATCAAGCTGAGAAGCTTCTGCACTACAAAAGGAACACTCAGCACAGTAAAGAGGCAACCAAAAGGATGGGAGAAACTATTTGCTAACTACGAAACTGATAAAAGATTAATATCCAGGCCAGCGCTGCCACTCAATAGGCTAATTCTCCACCTGCAGCGCTAGCACTCTGGGTTCTAGTCCCGGTCAGGGTGCCAGATTCTGTCCCTGTTGCTCCTCTTCCAGTTCAGGCTCTGCTGTGGCCAGGAGTGCAACGGAGGATGGCCCAAGTCCTTGAGTCCTGCACCTGCATGGGAGACCGGGAGAAGCACCTGGCTCCTGGCTTTGGAGCAGCGCGGTATGCCAGCCGCAGCAGCCAATTGGGGGTGAACCAATGGAAAAAGGAAGACCTTTCTCTCTGTTTCCCTCTCTCTCACTGTCTAACTCTGCCTGTCAAAAAACAAAGATTAATATCCAGCATCTAAAAAGAGCAAAGTGAAGAGGCAACCAAATGAATAAGAGAAAATAATCTGCCAACTATGAAACTTATAAAAGATTAATATCCACAATCTACAAAGAGTTCAAGGAACTCAACAACAACAAAACAAAAATTCCATTTAAAAATAGGCAAAGGACTTGAACAGGCATGTTTCAAGAGAGGAACTTCATATGGCCAACAGACACATGAAAAACGGCTCAGGATCGCTAGCCATCAGGTTTCACCACACCACAGTCAGAATGGCTCTCATACTAAAATCAACAAACGATAAATGCTGCTGAGGATCTGACACTATGCTACCCTAATACACTGTTGGTAGAAATGTAACCTGGGGAAGCCACTGCCTAAGACAGTATGGAGATACCTCAGAAAGCTGAAAATAAATCTACCGTATGACTCAGCAATCCTTCTCCTGGTGATTTACTCCTAGGAAATGAAATCAGCAGATTTGAAAGGGTTATCTGTACCTCCAGGTTTACTGCAGCTCAGTTCACAATAGCTGAGATATGGAATAAAACCTGATGTCCATGAACTGATGACAGGAAGTGGAGAGTCTCCAGAAGAGCAAGATTGCCTGGCAGCTGAGGGTCAGTGTCCACTCTGCGTTAGTTTCACATCCGAGTCCTTCTTGGGGGGGAGGCGAGGCAGACAGCTGCATCATGGCTTCTGCACACCTGAGCCCCTGCCCAACCCCCGCTGCCTCTGAACCAGTGGATTTGCAGGGAAAACACTGCTGGGAAGCACCGGGATCCCCCATCCTTTGAGGCAGGCCCTGGGCATCTCTCTGTCCATAAACTTAAACACAACAAGTCCATCCTGCACTCTACAAGCCTACTGAACCACTACTGCCAATGCCAGTCAACAACGACACTGCCTTGGATATAGCCTACTTCTCCCCCAGGCCAACTGCACAAGTACCACCCAACTAACACCCATCCCTTCCTCCCAGAAACAAAGCATCAGCAGAACAGGCCGCACTACCTTGAAGAACCAGGGGCTGCAGCCTGAGCCCCAGCCTGACATGCCTTTCCTGTGCTCACCATCATCAGGAGCACTCCAAGGGCATCGTTGCTCCCAATCCAGCCCACCAGAAGCTCAGGGCAGTGTGGAGCTCTCTACACCTCCCGGGCTAACACCCAGCCTCTCCCACATGGCGCACAGCTCTGCCAAACTGCCCATGGTCAGGGCTACTGAACGGCAGATACCTGCCCAGCATCCTTGGCCTGATCGGTGCCAGGGCTGCTGCCTGGAGTCAGACAACCAAGTGCACAATGTGTTATGCCCCTGACAGGGAGGTAGGGTCGGGACTATCACTGTGTACCTAAATTGCATTTATGAAATGCATGGAATTTGGATCTCTTAACTAAAAAACAGTATCTTACAAGAACACCTGAACTGTCTTCTCTTGGTCGTTTCCTAGCCCCTCCCCTATGTCAAAATTGTAGGTGACACAGTTGCTCATCACTTTGTCCCTGAGAACAGGCTGCCTTGTTTGAAATCCTAACTCAGAACATTTCATCCCACAACTTGCAGAATACATATTCTTCTCATCAGTCCCTGGAATTTTGTCTAGGACACAACATATGATAGGATATAAAGCAAGCCTAGAAAACTCAATAACTGAAATCAGTTCATGCATCTTCTATGATCAAAATGAAAGGAAACAGGAAATCAACAACTCAAGAAACTCCAGAACATATGCAAACACATGGAAACCGAGCAACATGCTCCTGAATGAATGGTTGGTCTTAGGAGAAATCAAAATGAAAATCCAGAAATTTCTGGAAATGATTAAAGATAACAGTACAACATAGCAAAACGTATGGGACACAGCAAATGCAATGTTAACAGGAAACTTTATAACAACTTGTGCCTACAACAAGATATTGGAAAGGAATCAAATAAATGAGCTTTTCAATGCATCACAAAATCTAGAAAAACAACGTATCAAACTCCAAATTAGTAGGATGACAGAAATCATGGAAATTTGAGAAGAAATGAACAAAGCTGAAGAAAAACATTATAAAAGATCATTGAGGCCAGCGCCGTGGCTCAATAGTCTAATCCTCCACTTGCGGCGCTGCCACACCGGATTCTAGTTCTGGTCTGGGTGCCAGATTCTGTCCCGGTTGCACCTCTTCCTGTCCAGCTCTTTCCTGTGGCCCGGGAGTGCAGTGTAGGATGGCCCAAGTGCTTGGGCCCTACATCCGCGTGGGTGATCTGGAGGAAGCACCTGGCTCCTGGCTTCAGATCGGCGCAGTGCACCAGCCAGAGCGGCCATTTGGAGAATGAAGCAACGAAAAGGAAGACCTTTCTGTCTCTCTCTCTGTCTAAATCTGCCTGTCCAAAAAGAAATAAAAAGATCACTGATATGAAAATCTGGTTAAAAATATTTTTTAGAAAATTGCTGAAAATCTCCAAAACAACAACAACAACAACAAACAGGAATAAGACCCCAATCAGTAAAATCAGAAATGAAAAACAAACTGTAATAATAGAAACCCAATAATAAAAACAACTATCTGGAATTCCTACAATGTACTGTTTGCCAATGAATTGGAAATTCTTGGAAAATCTCCCTCACTCCATAAATCTGCCTTTCAATTAAATAAATATTTAAAAAACATAATTATTTCAATAGATGAAAACAGCTGGAAAATATGCAAAAACCTTTCAGAAAGAAAACCTCAGGGAATCTGACAACAGAAAGAACATTCCTCTACACAATCAAGGCAATTTATGTCAAACCGACTGATAGCATCTTATGAATGGGGACAAGTTGCAAGCATTCCCAACTACGATCTGGAATCAGACAAGGATGCACTCTCATTATTGCTATTCAATATAGATCTGGAAGTTTTAGAGCCATTAGGCAAGAAAAAGAAATCAAATGGATACAAATTGGGAAGGAGGAAGTCAAACTATCCCTCCTTCAAAAGGACATGATTTTATAAATGGGGGAACCAAGAAACTCCACCACGAGACCATTAGAACTCTTAACAGAGTTTGGAAAAGTGGCAGGATATAAAATCAACACACAAAAATCAATAGAATTTGTATACACACAATATCAGGGCTGAGAAACCACTTCGAAGATCCATTCCATTCACAATAGCTACTAAAATTTAAATAACTTTGAATAAAGGTATCCAAGGAGCTTGAAGATTTAAAAAGCAACTCCAATACTTTTCCAACTATTTCAAAATAATAAACTGGAAGGAGTAGGATTCAACTCTAACAAACACTTTTTGAGAGGCCGGCATTACTTTAACCACAAAAGATAACAAAACACGAAATACAAAGAAAACTGAAGGCCTATATGCATAATGAAAAAGATGCAAAGATTCTTAACAAAATTCTAGCCTAACAAAACCAAAACCACATGCTGAAGCTCACATAAAACCTTCAATTGGAATTTATATCAGAAATGCCATGATGTTCCACATTTGCAAATTAACACACATGATGAATTTTATCAAAATAATGGAAGAATAAAACCACATTGTCTGGGCTGGCGCTGTGTTACAGAGGGTTAAAACCAAAACACATAATGCCGGCATCTCATATGGGTGCCATTTAGCATCCAGGCTGCTCCACTTTCAATCCTGCTCCCTCCTAACATGCCTGGGAAAATGTCGGAGGATGTCCCAATTAGTTGGGGCCATGCAGCCACATGGGAGACTTGGAAGAAGGTTCTGGATCCTGATGGCTCAGTTTGGCCATCAAGGTCTTTTGGGGAATGAACTAGCAAACAGAAGACCTCTCTCCCTCCCTCCTTCTCTTTTGCTCTTGCTCTACCTATATCTCTCTGTATAAATCTTGCAAACAAATGAAATAAATCTTTTGAAAACCACATCATCTAATTAGATACAGATATCAGTAGAATAAAAAATGATTAAAAACTACACAAAATATACACAAAAGGAATACATATCACAATCATAAAGGCTATGTATGACAAACCAACAGCCAATGTCATGCTGGGTGGGGAGAATGTGAAATCATTTTGTCAAACATATAACAACACAAGGATTCCCTTTTACCACTCTTACTGAATGCAGTCTCCATATGGGAGACCTGGAAGAAGCTCCTGACTCCTAGCTTTGGATCAGCCCAGCAATGGGCCCTGTGGCCATTTCGGGAGCAAACCAGCAGATGGAAGACCTCTATCTCTGTGTTTCCCTATCTCTAGATCTCTGCCACTTAAGAAAATATATTTTTTTGAAAAAAGATCACTATGCAGCTCACGTGGAACTTGCCCACCCTACCTTTAACTGATGAAGAATTAAGAGTGGGAACAAGAGAAGGAGGAAGAAGAAGGCTGGGAGTGCAGGCTTGAGAGATGCTAGCATGGGAAGTAGTATCAGTATGTTTGAATCTGTATATAAGAAATACATGAAATTTACATACCTGATATAAAATTTTAAAAAGTACATAATCTTCTAACCAGACTAACAAAAATGATAAAAACTCCAGTAAATAAAATTACAGAAAAAAAGCAGAGATTATAATCAACATCACTGAAACACAAGGTTTCAGAGAAATTGCTATTCAGTACTATATGCTAATAAACTGGAAAACTAGAAGAAACAGAGGAATCCCTGGATAACAAATACACGTAACCTACTAAGATTAAATCCAGAAGATATAGACAACATAAAAAGACTCATAAAAATCAATGAAAACTAAAACACCCACCAAAAACACTGCTAGAACTAAGTAAATAAGTTAGAGGTTACAAATAAACATACCTTGTAACCCGCAGTCCTGTCCTCCAGCGCAAGCCCAGCCACCCGCTTCTCCGCTTCCCACAGCTGAGCCGCCGCCCGCCCCCACGGCCGCCAGCCTGCGGACATGAGTGTCTACACTGCTCCGAGGAGCCACGACCCCCCACCCCCACCCCGCGACGAGGTCCCAGGCCTCTCATTGTTTCATAAGAAAAACTCACCTTCACTCCCGCACTCTCTGGGCCAGTACCGCTGCCGAAAACGCCGCCATCAGCGGAGAATTCCGGCTGCCGACTGACATGCCGCCACCAGCAGATAATACCGTCTTGCTCTCCACCAGGCCGACTGCGCAAGCGCCAGCCATCTAGGACCTGCCTCTTCCTCCCAGTAAGCACAGCAGCACCAGAAGCGGCCAGGCAGCGTCAAAAACATGGGTGACAGCAGTCTTGGCTCCGGGCTAAGACTGTGTTGATCTCCGATGTGCTCCAGCTAAGAAACGTTTTCTGGTAAAAAAAAAAAAAAAAAAAGAAAAGAAAAGAAAAACCTGTCATTTGCAAAAAGAAAAAAAATGGATGCAACTGTAAAACCTTACACTTTAAAATAACCCTTTCCAAAAAAAGACAAACACTGTATATTCTCCCTGATCTGTGGTAACAGAGTACCTAAAAGGTGAGCTATATTAGTGATATTGATACTTTGACGTACAATGATTTAGACAACTCTTGTCTTGCAGATAGAATGATTTTAAACAAACCATGTCTTGCCTCTTCAGGAACAGATTTTTTTTTGATTCTTTCAAACTGTTGAATTCTTTACATATTGCAGGCTTTATATTATGAGTATAAAATAATTGAAAATAGATTTTTGTATAAAATAAGAATGGGAATCGTGGATAGAGGATGAAGAGGGATGGGAAATAGGGCCGGTGCTGTGGCCAAGCAGGTTAACACCCTGGCCTGGAGCACCAGCATTAAATATGGGCGCCAGTTTGAGACTGGCTTCTGCACTTGCGATCCAGCTCTCTGCTATGGCCTGGGAAAGCAGTGGAGGATGGCCCAGGTCCTTGGGCCCCTGACCCATTGGGAGACGCAGAAGAAGCTCCTGGCTCCTGGCTTCAGATCAGCACAGCTCTGACCATTGTGGCCAATTGAGGAGTGAACCATCGGATGGAAGACCTCTCTATGCCTTTCCTCTCTCTCTGTAACTCTGACTTTCAAATAAATAAATAAATAAATAAATCTTTAAAAAAATGAAGAGGGATGGGAGCATGTTCGGGTCGGTGGGTAGGAGTGAGCGAGGGTAGAGTGGGAATAATTAATGTTTCTAAATTTGTATATATGAAATACATCAAGTTTGAATACTTTAAATCAAGTTTCCAGGTAAAAAAGGGAGGTAAAATTTTGAATGATTCATTATGAGAGAGAGAGCTAGAGATAGCTCTCATCTACTGAGTCACTCCCCAAATGCCCTCAAGATGGGACTAAAGCTGAGAAGTAGGATCTTCATCCACGTCTCCCACATGGTTGACAGGAACTAAGGCCTTGAGCCACCCTCCAGGATACACAATAAGGTAGGCCATAAGTCTCAGCTAATTCAACAAATATCAAAATCATACCATGCATCTTCCACAACTACATGGAATGAAGGGGCGAATGACCACACCAAGAACCTCAAGAACATATACAACCACATGGAGACTGAACATGCTCCTGAATGAACTGTGAGTCAGAAAAAATTAAAAAAAGATGAAAACGAATAAAGATGACAGTATAACATATCAAAACTTATCAGATACTGGAAAGTTTAGAGAAATTGGTGCCTATACCAAGAAATTGGAAAAGAATCAAATAAGTGAGCCACCAATGTAGCACCCTTGAAAAAAAATGAAATCAAATGCAAAATTATCAAGAGGAAAGAGATATATAAATTAGAGGAGAAATAAACAAAATTGAAAGCAAAAAAGAATATAAATATCAGTGAAATGAAGAACTTGCTTAAAAAATTTATACACTCTTGGTCCAACTATCCTTAAAAAAAAGAAGACCCCAATCAGTAAAATCAGAGATGAAAAATGAAAGGTAACAACAGATACCACAGATGATTAAAAGACTTACCCATCAGGAGCTAATACAAAGGACTGTATTCCAACCAATCAAAAAGTCTGTCTCTCCTACTCCATCTATAATTCTGCCTCACAAATAAATAAATAAAACTTTCAAATAAACCATAGGCTTATTTCAATAGATGCAGAGCAAGCATTTGACAAAATACAACATCCTTTCATAATGAAAACCTTAAGGAAACTGAGTATAGTAAGAACATTGCTCAACATAATCAAGGCAATTTATGACAAACCTATAGACAGCATCTTATGAATGGGGAAATGTTGGAAGCATTCCCATGAAGAGCTGGAATCAGACAAGGATGACAACTTGCGCCCTTGCTATTCAATATAGACCTGGAAGTTTTAGCCAGACCTATTAGGCAAGAAAAAGAAATCAAAGGATACAAACTGGGAAGGAGGGAATCAAATTACCCCTACTTGCGGGTGACAGGATTCTATATATAGGGGAAATAAAAGTCTCCACTAAGAGATTACTGGAATTCATAAAAAGAATCTGGGGGAGTGCCAGGATACAAAATTAACACAAAAATCAATAGTCTATGTATAAAATGCCATGGCTGGGAAAGAACTTCTAAGATCAATCCCATTCACAATTGCTACAAAAAAATTAAACACCATGGGATAAAATTAATCAAGGATGCCAAAGTATCTAATATGAAAATTAGCAAACATTAGTGAAAGAAACAGAAGACACAGAAAATGGAAAAATCTTTAATATTCAAGGACTAAAATAATCAATATAATCAAAATGTCCATAGTACCAAAAGCAATTTACAAATTCATGTGATCCCAATTAAAATGCCAATTACATTCTTTTCAGATCTAGGGAAAAAAGATGCTAAAATTCAAATGGAAACACAAGAGACCCAGAATAGCTAATGGAATCTTATATGTGAAAAACAAAGCCAGAAGCATCACAATACCAGAATTCAAGACATACTTCAGGACAGTTACAAACAAAACAGCCTGATACTGGCAAAGAATAGACATGTGGACCAATGGAGCACAATAGAAACTCCAAAACTCAATCTACACATGTACAAATAATTTATCTTTGACAATGGATCTAAAATCCAACCATGTGACAAGGTCAGTCTCTTCAAAAAATGGTGCATAAAAGGTGGATCTCCCATGCAGAAGTATGAAAATAAAAACCTACCTCATTCTTACAAAAAAACAAACTCAAAAAAGGATCAAAGACCTAAATGTACAACCTAATACCATCAAATTCTTAGAGAACATTGTGGAAATGATGCAAGACATTGCCAGATGCAGACTTCTTAGAACACAGACGTACAGGCACTAAAAGCAAAAACACACAAATGGGATTACATCAAGCTGAGCAGCTTTTGCACTGTAAATGAAAACTCAGCAAAGTGAAGGGCAACTGACAGAATGAGAGAAAATATATGCAAACTATGACCTGATAAATTGTTAATATCCAGAATGTATAAAGTGCTCAAGAAACTCAACAACAACAAAACAAACAATGCAGTTAAGAATGGGAAACAGACTTGAACAGACATTCCTTAAGGAAGGAAATGCAAATGACCAACAGACACATGAAAAATGCTCAGGATCACTAGCCATTAGCGAAATGCAAAATGAAACCACAATGAAGTTTCACCTCACCACAGTTAGAATGGTTTGCATACAGAAATCAACAAACAACAAATGCTGGAAAGGATGTGGCAAAACAGTACACAAGTGGCCAGTGCCGTGGTGCACGAGGTGAATCCTCCTCCTGCTGTGCTGGCATCCCATATGGGCACCGGGTTCTAAACCCAGCTTCCCCTCTTCCAGTCCAGCTCTCTGCTGTGGCCTGGAAAAGCAATGAAGGATGGCCCAAGTGCTTGGGCCTCTGCACCCGTATGGGAGACCAGGAAGAGGCACCTGGCTCCTGGTTTTGGATCGGTGCAGCTCTGGCAATTGTGGCCATTTGGGGGGTGAACCATTGGATGGAACACTTTTCTCTCTGACTCTCACTCTCACTGTCTGTAACTCTTCCTCTCAATTATTAATATAATTATAATAATATATTAATATTATTAATATAAATAACATAATAATAATAATGCAGTACCCTAATCCACTGGGAATGTAATCTGGTGAAGCCATTGTGGAAGACAGTATGGAGACACCTCAAAAGGCTGAAAATAGATGAATCATATGAACCAGCAATGCCACTCATGGGAATTTACCTAAACAAATTGAAATCAGCAGATGAAAGAGTTATCTGTACCCACGTTTATGGCTGCTCAATTCACAACAGCTAAGATATGGAATCAATCCAGATGTCTATCAAATGATGATTAGATAAAGAAATTATGGAGGCCAGCACAAAGTGGGTTAAGCCTCCTACTTGCTGCACCAGCATCCCATAGGTGTTCCTGTTCGAAGCCTGGATCCTCCCTGATGAAGGCCTAGGAAAACAGTGGAAGATGGCCCAAGTCCTTGGGCCCTTGCACCTGCGTGGGAGACCCAAAAGAAGTTCCTGGTTCCTGGCTTTGCATCAGCCCAGTTCTAGCCATTGCATCCATTTAGAGAGTGAACCAGAAGGAAGACCTCTCATTCTCAGATGGAAGATCTCTCGTTCTCTGTCTCTCCCTCTCTCAACTCTGCCTCTCAGAAAAATGAATCTTGAAAAAAGTAACTATGGTATATATACACTATGGAATACTACTCAGCAGGAAAAAATGCAATGAAGTCTTTTGCAACAAAATGGATATAACTAGAAAACATTATACTTAGTGAAATAAGCTAGTCCCCAAAAGACAAATACCACATGTTGTCCCTGATCTGCGGTGACTAAGAGAGTATTTAACAGGTAATAATGTGTAGGAATAAAATGAGTATTTTGAGATATGATGCTTTTTTTTACAAGCCTTGTCTCACTTTGAGGAACAATTTATTTTCTTCATACTATTTGTTGAACTTTTTACTTAGTGAATAGTGACTATTATGAGTATAAAGTTACCTGAAAATATTTTTCTATTAGAATTAACAGTGGAAACAGGAGAGGGAAGAGGAAGAAGTATGGAAGCATGGGCTAGAGGAAGCGTTGGGTGTGAAGAATCAATACGTTCCTGAATATGTATATGGCAAGTACATGAAATTTGTTTACCTCACATAAAATTTTTAAAAACTAAATCAGTCTCTAACAAGACTGACAAAGAAAAAAAGAGAAAAAAACCTCAAAACCTCAAATAAATAAGATTAGATGAAAAAGCAGACAGTATAATCAACACTACTGAAATACAAGGCTTCAAAAGAAACTGCCATTCAATACTATATGCTAATAAACTGGAAAAAGCAGAAAAATGGAGAAGTTTTTCAATACATGTAACTTACCAAATTTAATCCAGAAGATAAAGACAA